GAACAAGAGGAGTTTAATCCTCATTGTCCAGGAGACTACAGAGGGTGAGGGGGGGTCCTCCGGCTGTAAAATGATCCAACTGGCCTCGGCTAATCCCCTCCTAACCCCCACTCCTGGGTCTGACCCCCCTCCCGGCCTTAATTCACGCCCCCGCACCGCCACAGTATCACACTATAAACACAAACACACATCGAGAAATGTAGCTGGGATTGGATGTACATCTTAAAAACACAAAATCAGGTGAATGATGACACAAATCAGCCAATATTGAATTGTTAAACTTGTTCCCACTTTCTCTCTCAATTCAATTCAATTCAAATTAGCTTTATTGGCATGAATGTGTAACAACAATATTGCCAAAGCATCATACATACAACACATCATACATACAACTCTCTCTTTCTCACACACATATAGGATAATAATTTTATTCATAGTTATGCAGTAAGTGGTTTAGGGGGGTATGTTTAAGTGGGATTTAACCTAATCACCTCCACATAGGCTTAATCAACTAACCCGTCTTCCACTCTAGGGATCCTCACCACCAGTAGAGGTGTCTAATAAACTGCACACACACACACACACACTTTTTATTGCCATTATAACCTGTGTGTGTGTTGTGAATTGAGTTATTAGAAGACAATGAAAATAGCTAACTATTTTTGTACTTATACCTTGCTGTGGTGACGTATATGTGTGTGATAGTGACAGAAAATAAACAGCCTCATGTCATCAGTTGCGTGATTAGAAGTGACGATGTATGCGTGTGTGTCCGTGCACTAGTGTGTGTACACGTGTGTATGTGTGGGTTGACAAAAATAAAACCCAATAAATAGTCTTGTTTTATTGTTCTTCTCATTAAACGAAGGATTATTTCAAGATTAGGCAGGACAGGGCTGGACATCTATTTGACGTTAAGTCTCTCTCTAACAAGACGGATGCTCTCCACTCTGCACAAATCTTCTCCTTTGAATTTTCCTACCTTGCGCAGACCCCTTCCTCCCTCCCTCCACTCTCACTCGATCGCTCTCCCTCTCCCGTTCTGTCTTTATTTCTCTTCTGTTCCTCTCTCCCCTCCTCTCTTTTTCTTTTTCTGCGCTCCTCCCTGAGTGACAGCTCAATACCCAGCTCTCCCAGGCTTATCTAGCCTCAGCAGATGGTTGACTTGGATCACTGTTCATACGCCACGATCTGGGCTGGTGATAAAGACTGTTACAGAGGGAATATATGCTATCTCTCTCTAGCTTGCTCTTTCTTTCTTTCACTCCTCCTGTCACCTCCTCTTGATGCACACTGTCGTTTTCTCCCTCTCTATCCATTCCTTTTCAACTCTTTTATACCGCAGCTCTTTCCATTTCTACCTGGACCTGTCTCCTCTTCTCCTTGTCATGTCCTCCACTTTTCTCAGCTGTGCTCTTTGTCCCCCCAACCCTCCCCTCTGTGTCTCCTCATCTCCCTCCATCCCTCCATCTCTGTGCATTGAATCTGGTACTGGTGATTGTCTCTGCTTCCCTGCTGGGCTGGCGCCTGTCTAAAGGGCCCCAGGACCCTCACACACTGAGGGTCTCCAGCCATGCCAGAGATGCCCTCTCTCTCCTCTCTCCCCTCATATCGGTTCATCTGATCCCTCTTCATCTCCACAGGACAGAAGAAAAGGTCAAAATGTGTCTCTTTTGGCTCTTCTTACTTTCTCTCTTCTCTGTAATCAAAGTTATACGTTTAAGTCTGTATCTAAGTGCATATTTGACTAGAACTATTTTAAAAAGTTCCAGTTAGCCACTTTAATATGTTTTAAAAGAATGAATACGTGCCAAATGTACTATAAGTAAAAAGGTAACCTTCAAAGTGTTGCAGCCTGAAGCTTTTCGAGACTCACATCTGCTGTTTTCATTCGTTTCATTTACGTGATCACTGCATTTAAACAACTGATGTACACTTCACAGGCTTGAATTGCTCATTTTAGGTATACTTCACTTGTCTGGATTGGTCATTTGATGTCCTCCTCACATGTTTTTCATTCTACACAGCCAAGCGACAAAGGAAAATGAAAAGGCTATAACTGCTGCTCGTAGATGAAAGAAGGGACTGAGTGCTGGGAGTAATATGAATGAGAACATACAACACAGCACCTTGTATGGCAACGGGGAAATAGGCTGGCAAAGACATCACTTGCGCACACCATACATCTCAGCTCTGCGTGATGTGTGCCAGTGTAATGTGAGAGGGAGAAGGCATGGAAGCAAGCTGAGATCCTGTGAGGTGGTTTCTTTTGGAGAATGCTAATTTATTAAATGATAAGTACAATGATGCCAGCATTGTATAAGGAGCTTCCATCTCATAAGTGGTAGAACAACTCTTCCCCTGCGATTCACTGGTGGCTCTCTCTCTCCTCAATACTCCAGACAGTTTGCAGCCATCTTAATCTGAACGGTGGAATCTGGCAACCACACCGGAGCACCTGTATCCGTCCAGCCTGACCCGCTTTTGTTCTGGTCCGACCCCCTAACTTTAGCCCCTAATTAACCCAACAAAAACTAATTAAATACAGCTCTAGTGGACCAGATGCCAGACAGAATTTTTTTTTAAAGTAGAAGAAGGAGGAGGAGGACGGAATGAGGAGAGCGAGCCAATGTGACAGGCAGGAGTAGAAGAGGGCGGAGAGGGTGAGGGGGGTCCAAAGGTTTGCCTCTAGCCCCTGAGACCTGTTCAGAGAGACAAGGATAGAGATTCAAAGGAAAAGGATATTTGGCGGTCATTGTCAGCTTGGGTTGTCCTGAGCATGTTGCCACTCTCTGCTGACCTTATACTTCCTTACATGCTGTTGTTTTTCAAGGTATTTTGGGGTTCTTCCTCATAGATGAGTAGGGTTGCCAACTGCTGTAATCACAAGCACACCAGTCACATGACGCAACTGACGCCCTGGAGATATTTGGAAAAGGGTATAGGATGGGGAGAGCCTCAGAGAGACAAGAGCAGCATAGAATGAAAGCAGGAGTGAAAAAAAAAGGGGGGGGGGGGGGGGGGGGAGATACGGGACAGGATTGTGAGAAAGAAGATATATAAATATGGGTTCAAACCAGCCAAGTGTCTCTGGCAAGACGCTGCTGCTCCTAGTCCCAGGCACAGCTCGCTAAGTGATAGAGAAAGTAATTAAGAGAAGCCTGTTCAAGTAGATAGGCCTGTAAAGGAGATTTGAAGAGGGGAACTGATTGTGCATGTCTGATTCCAGCTCTTCAGAGAGTTCTCAGCCCCAAGGCTTAGCTTTCAAAGGGCCGTCTCTCTCCCTGTCTATCTCTCCGTCTCTGTCTCTGTAACATATATCCACAAACAAATATGACTCACCCTCTATCCACATATCAAGCACACATGTGTTCATGTTAGATGAATGTAGGGCAGAGAGATAGGAAATGTAGGCAAGAGGAGAAGGTGTCTCTCTTAGCATATCTCTTAGAAGGGATATGACATGTTAGAGCTTTATCTATAGTAATATAAACTATATGACTCAATAGGAGCATCTTGTTTCCTCTTGCAATGTATAAGAAATGAGGCATCGCTGATGGACTTCAAAGTTTGCAAAATATCTTTTCTAAAGTGATCCACCTCTGTTGTCATGTTTGAGGACACGAAAGAGCAACACTGCCACCTAGGATGGGCTACACCAGATTGCAGATAAAGGAAGTCTCTGTCTTTGAGGTTATTTCCACTCAAATCTGACTTGAGTTGCATGATTTACATGTCAAGTTGGGTTTTTTTTTTTCCCATTGTCCTCAATATGAAACTGCGACAGAGTTATTCAAGATATTCACTATATATTAAAGGCTCCCAAAACTTTGGGGGAGAAGTAAGCACACTGTGCAGCTACAGGGTCACAGACATGGACAGACAGATATGGTTTATTTATGCTTCTTTCACATTCATGTTTTTTCAAGGGCCATCGCTGACAGGGCATGGGATTTTCTCTTTTTTAAAACTGAATAGGCTAAACAGAAAAAGGACATTCCTCTTATTGCGTCTGTTTTCAAATGTATATGAAGTATATGAGTTTTATATGATTCTCACATTTTTAAAAAAGTTTATAAAAATAGAAAAGTATTAACAACTCACCAGTAGCCTACTGTGTTTGGCTAATTTGGATCATAATGTAAGCATGTACACTCAGAGAAGGAAAATGAAAAGCAGTGATGTTACTCAAGACAAGAGCACATACCTCGTACTGCAGAACAAACTTGTATTTCCAGGATGAAGACTCCAACCAACTGAAATAAAGGCAGACGAATCTCATGTACTGGCGACATCTACTGGATCAACGGCATTGTTGCTGTTGCACAGGGGAAAATGTATCTATCTATGTATAAATCAATCCTTAACTAGCGTCCTCTGCTGGTAATAAAAGGACATGTCAACAGTTCTTGACCTTAAAGGGTAGTGAACCTTTCAGTAGGCTACAACTTCATAAATCAAATTTGACACTCTCGCTTTTGAGACAATTTCACAATTTAAAGTGATCCAACATAAATCAGGCTATAGGTCAATACAAATAGCCTATACTCAGCATACGTGTCTGATGCTGTTTAGGTCTGACACTACAAAACAAGGAAGGTATGAAATGCAAACTATGTGAAGAAAGTTTTTGCATAAAACTATTTCCAGGACAACTGAAATTAATCACGTGTCTTCCACATTTGTTTTGTTGTTTCAGTGTTTGAAACAGAGGGAGTAGGAACATAATCGTGACCCTGCTCCAGTGTCCAGTTTTCTTTGGTTTTGTGTTTTCTATTCCTTTATTGTTCTAGAGGTTTAGTACATCCTTGCTTTGTAAATTCAATACAATAGAGGGGGTATGCAAATCAATAAAGATAAAACGACTGAATATAGGAATACATTACTTTATTTAAATAGTAGCCTAAGTAAAAGACGGATATAGTCTGCCCCGGTGTCTGAAAAAAACCTGCATCTGTCATGCGTTACACCACTGTCGTAAAACGTCTCTGTCTGCTGTTGCAATGGCGTTTGCTGCGACAGCACTTTGCGGCAGCTGGGAAATCTAGGAGAAAGCAGCAACTAACGTCGCCAGCGGATACGTTATCGCCTCAAAAACCTTTGGATTTATGTAATATTCGGTCAACTAACTTGTATATTGATTGTATTTCCCTCCGCCTTGTGGATGAGATTGTGTTCAACGTTTTCCAAGCGTGAATCTCCACCTTAATGCGGTGGGATGGCCACAGTGCCGCCTGGGCCTAGTAGCGCACTGACTGCAACCCCGGCTAAAATTCCTCCTTTCCCCGGTGCTGGGAGCGCAGAGCCGGCGGGGGGAGACGGAGAGCCGGTCTGCCACAGGGAGGACTGTGTATCCGCTGATACAGGGACGAAGTCGCAGCCGGTAAGCGAGGTCAAAACGTCTGTGAAGAAGAAGCAGAAAAACATGCTAGCGCGAGCTAGCCCGGCGGCACTGCACCTCAAAATGCAAGCCCGAGAGCAGCAGCAGCTAAACGGCTTGATCAGCCCCTCAGAGGACGCGGGCTGCCACCAACACACAGGAAACCGGCCTGACAATCCGAGACCGTCCGTGGACAACTGTGACAGCAGTGGCAGCAACGAGGGGGATCCAGCCGCTAGAAACAATAGTGAGCATTGCCAACACGAAGGCCACAGCCCCTTCTCCGAAAACGGCAGCCACTCTCCCTTAGTTAACAATAACAGCATGAACGGGATGCCGGGTTTTACTAGAACTGAGGCGGCCCACCCCGGGGACGAAGGGAAAGAGGAGTTTGACCACACGCTGAGTGACGAGCCACCGGACGCTGCTGGGCCCGGCGCAGAGGAGAGCCCAGCTGACCCGCTGCAGCCGCCAGCCGCGGAGCTGGCCCGGCTCGACCTGAGCAGCTCTCCCGGCCGTGCGGAAGAGGATAGCCATGGCATCCGATATGTCCGCTATGAATCCGAGCTGCAGATGCCGTGGATCATGAGACTGATCACCAAGGACTTGTCTGAGCCTTATTCAATTTACACGTACAGGTACTTCATCCACAACTGGCCGCAGCTCTGCTTTCTGGTGAGTGGCACTGACACCATCTTAATGTGAAGGACAAGCCTGTATTCACTTTGTTCATCAGGTCAAAATAAAGTGAGTTACCCTACTAGCCCATGGACTTTGGTTACCTGAAGTTGCATACCATAATTGGGTCTAGGTGTGACTGGATAGCTTTCATAACCTAACACCAAACACAGAGCTAAAATGTACTGAAGATAAACACACACAGCTTCAACAAGCATATGCAAATGTCTCACTGATGGCACATTGGTTTGGGCGTTTGTATTCGATCATTTGGCAGAGCTACACCCACATTTCTATTATAAAGCCTTCATTCATGTCCGTTTTAATGAATTTTAGTCTGAATCAATAGCTGTCCAATCAAGAAAAGCTCTTTTCCAGTCATATGTGTTCAGGTATTTAGTAAAGTTCTGAAACCCTTAATTTCCAGAGAGCATTGTGCATAAAGTAAGTGTTTCCTCTTGCATCTACAGTGTTCAGAATGGGTTTTCTACTTTGATAAACACTGTCCTGTCTTTGTGTATCCTCTGAGCCCTAAAGTCATAAACTCCCTAGTTCCAGTTTGTCTGGAACGCCGCGTGTGACATAAGAGGAACTGTCATGAAATAGAGGTCAGAGGTCAGCTCAGAAAGCTGGCAGGATGACAGGAACGGTTGCTTGGCTTTCAGCAGTCGCCCCAGTGGACACTCAGAGGACCTGTCTATGTTGTGTGTTTGTGTCCCAGGCCATGGTGGAGCAGGAGTGTGTCGGAGCCATTGTTTGTAAGCTCGACATGCACAAGAAGATGTTCCGTCGTGGCTACATTGCCATGCTGGCCGTGGACTCGAAACACAGAAGGAAAAGCATCGGTGAGATCTCGACTCTGTCCTTTCATAATCTGAAGCCAAGACCAAGTTGTGCAACAGCGTCTTTTGTGCTTTCTTTGACAACCAAATCTCTTTATGCAAATGCACCATTTAGATAAGTTATACACACTTGAGTTGATGTGTAACGCTGTACTTTGTACATTGTTCACCCTTTTCTTATACTATCAGAAGTCAAGCTAGAAAAATGGACAAACCAAGTGTTCTTTTCTCAAGTTTTTATTTAATTTGCGTGCTTTCGCTGTCTCTTCTGTGTCAGGTACTAATCTGGTGAAGAAGGCCATCTATGCCATGGTGGAGGGTGACTGTGACGAGGTAAGAAAAGATTTCCACTGGAGGGTGTCTAATACATCCAGAGAATATTTAAAATTTGAGAAAATCCTGAAACACACCTAAAGATTCCTGCCTTTATAACTGACATTGGCCCACATTCGTAAGCTTTGTGCTCAAGTATTTCACTCACTATGTTAAAGTAATAGAAATCAAATATCCCTGCAAAATACACTTAATATAATGACAACACATTTGAAAATGATTTAAAATATTTGGTCCTTGGTTTTAGTTTGGTAATGGCCCTACACAAAAGCTTCTGTGTGAGGAAGATATAAGTCCATTTTGTCTGTCTGCCTTATCTAAGTTTGCTGGTAACCTTGGTTTGATTGTCAGCTACTCCTTTCAGTCTCTTCTCTCTAATAAAAACTATTTCACTTATTTGTCTCTGAATAGCTGCATACTCATTCACCTGCATCTAACACAATACATTTTGAAAGTATTTGAAATCTCCAGAAAGACCAGAGGTGGAAATAGGATGTCGTATTAAACTATCTCTAATCTTTTTGTTGACTGAGACTGAAACACTGTCACCATGATTCACCACAAATTAATTTTTTTCTTCAATCAAGCACCTGCAAATGTAGATGTGTTTTTTTTCCAGCTGTGGTGCTTGTGTATCAGCTGCTGGTAAAATATTCTAACAGGTTTTCATAACACTGACTAAAATGCATCGTGGCGCATCGTTAGCACAGGAGCTCTGGACTGCCTGGAGGAGGAGGTTTTAGCCATTAGCTACCTAATGGGACCTCTAGCTGCACAGCTAATTAAGCCAGTTAGCTTACAGAAGCTACCGTCAGCAGTAGTTAGCAGTTACTTTAGAAACACGTAAAGCCATCTGAGCATTAACAATCATTAACAAAGAGTAGTCCTGAGCAGAGTAGTGCTGGCCCAGCACTGGAGAAAGCGTTATGAGCAGAACAGACTGAGAGGGTAGAGGGGCATGTCCCTGTATTTTGTGGGCGTGCTGTGCCTGTAGCTGATCATGAGCAGATGACTGTATAAGGAAATGTCGAAAAAATGTTGGAAAATCAGTATTCAGATCAGTCTGAAGCCTAAGCTTTTTGCTCACAGGGATTACTTTTACATATATTTACCTCATTATTTGAATCTTTGTCCATGTTTAATAGAAACATCTGACATTGTAACATTATATATTACAGAAATAAGGGAATGCATAATAGGTCTCCTGTAATTTCCACATGTTTTGCTTGTAAATACCAGTCAACAGCAAACTTGTACAACTTAAAGATCAGGGCCTGTATTTATCAAGCTTCTCAGAATTACTCCTAATACACTGCTAAGAACTGAATTAAGAGTAAAAAAAATTCTTGGCTCAAAGCTGTGCTTAAGTTAGTTATCAAGCATCATAGTCCTAATTTGAGTGAAGTGTAGGACTAAATCTTAAGTGTCAGTCTTAGTGCTGATTCACGACAGTTTGCTGTGCCGCAAACAGGATTTGGGAGGAAGATGTCGCCAAGGACCAATCACTGAATAGATTTCCTTCTTTAAGAATATTCTCAGATAAATTCAATTCTATTTTATTTATATAGCGCCAAATCACAACAACAGTTATCTCACAGCACTTTTCGTAAAAGAGCAGGTCTAGACCGTACTCTATGATGCTATTTACAGAAGCCCAACAGTTCCCACCAAGAGCAGCACTAGGCGACAGAGGCAAGGAAAAACTTCCTTTTAAGAGGCAGAAACCTCGAGCAGAACCATGGCTCGGGGTGGGCGGCCATCTGCCTCGACCGGTTGGGGTGAAGGAGAGAGAGAGAGGGCAGGAGAGGAACAGAGAGAAAAAGATTCACATTGAATGGTGAAATTCCTTAGGAGTTTATATTCAACACACATTTAACAATAAAGAATTTTCAAGATAATACATTATGATATAGGCCTACACATTAATACATGAAAGGAGAAAAAAAAAAGTTTCTTTTATTTGAGCGCCATCAAATGCGTCTAGGGCTCCTGTATTGCTGGCTGTTTGCTTCTGTCGGATTACGGGGGGTGTTGTTGGGAAGTCGATGTCTCTGTCCCCACAGTGCCATCACAAGCCCTACTGGCAACTCCTAACCACTTGAGAGACCTCTCGAGCTGTCTTCAATAGTGATTCTTAGCTTTGAGAAATTTGATAACTTGCTTTTATTCTTAAGTTTAAAAGTAGGAGTAAATTTCATGACTTCTCAGCACTTAAGACTAAAATGGCACTTTGAGAAGCTTGATAAATACCGGCCCAGACCTTGCTTGAATGCAAAAGCCAGAAAGATTGCTGAACTCTCATTTCTTGCAACTGCATGACTACATAATAATAAAGATGTAACTGAAGGTCATAGTAGTAGATCACAGTTCTTAAGCATGTTTTAAAAATGTCTGACTAATAGCTGCTGGGAAACAGAGGAAGTGATTATAATTACTTGTGTACACTTTGGGAAATGGTAGTTAGTAAAGTGTACAGTGTTTATGAAATACGCAACCCTCTTAGATGTTATCATGTTTTATCATTGCACAGTACTGAGTCACAGTGGATGTCATTTGATTTCTTTTTTTACACTGCTAATTGTTGTTGTCCCAACTAGATATTGACTTAAGAATTTACTTGAATACTTCATTACATCCACTGTGATGCTGTGTTTTTAACAACATCTGAAAAGGGGAATACTGTTTAGGGAGGTTTGCTTAGTTGTTGTGTAATTGAGAAGACAAATGTTGATACATAGGTTTACTAGGCATTCTCATGGAAAACATTTTGAAATGTCACAGTAGGAAAAGCACAGGTTAGAGTACTGTGCATTCTGACTCTGTCACACTGTCATGGTTTACTGTCACTGAGCCATCCTTAATATTACTGTGCTGTATACTGTGATTGTCCTACTACAATACAGTCGTATGCAAACGTTTAGGCACCCCTGACAATTTCCATGATTTTCATTTATAAATAATTGGGTGTTTGGATCAGCAATTTATTTTTGAGCTATCAAATAACTGAAAGACACAGTAATAATTTAAGTAGTGAAATGAGGTTGGATACATTGGATGAACGGAAGTAGACAGGTGCATAAATTTGGGCACCCCAACAGAAATATCACATCAATATTTAGCTGAGCCTCCTTTAGCCGAAATAACGGCCTCTAGACGCTTCCTATAGCCTCTAATGAGTGTCTGGATTCTGGATGAAGGTATTTTGGACCATTCCTCCTTGCAAAACATCTCCAGTTCGGTTAGGTTTGATGGATGCTGAGCATGGACTGCCCGCTTCCAATCACCCCACAGATTTTCACTGATATTCAGGGCTGGGGACTGGGATGGCCATTCCAGAACATTGTACTTGTTCCTCTGCATAAATGCCAGAGTAGATCTTGAGCAGTGTTTTGGGTCATTGTCTTGTTGAAATATCCAGCCCCGGCATAATTTCAACTTTGTGACGGATTCCTCTACATTATTCTCAAGTATCTGCTGATATTGAGTGGAAGCCATGCGACCCTCAACTTTAACAAGACTCCCAGTACCGGCACTGGCCACACAGCATGATGGAACCTCCACCAAACTTTACTGTGGGTAACAAGTGTTTGTCTTGGAACTCCATCTTTGTTTCATCAGTTCACAGTACCTTCTTCCAGAATGAAGCTGGCTTGTCCAAATGTGCGTTTGCATACCTTCTTCTTAACTTCTTCTTCCGCACCACTCTCCTGTACAGCTTCTCCTTGTGTAAAGTGCGCTGAATTGTTGAACGATGCACAGTGACATTATCTGCAGCAAGATGATGATGTAGGTCTTTGGAGGTGGTCTGTGGGCTGTTGGTGACCATTCTCACCATCCTTCGCCTTTGCCTCTCCAATATTTTACTTGGCCTGCCACTTTTGGCCTTAACAAGAACTGTGCCTGTGGTGTTCCATTTCCTTACTATGTTCTTCTTCACAGTGGACACTGACAGCTTAAATCTCTGCGATAGCTTTTTGTAGCCTTCCCCTAAACCATAATTTTGAACAATCTTTGGTTTCAGGTCATTTGAGAGTTGTTTTGAGCCCCCCATGTTGCCACTCTTCACAGGAGAGGGAAACAACTTGCAATTGGCCACCTTTAAATACCTTTTCTCGTGATTGGATGCACCTGTCTATGAAGTTCAAGGCTTAATGAGCTCACCAAACCAATTGTGTGTTCCACTTAATCAGTGCTAGGTAGTTATAGGTATTCAAATCAACAAAATGACAAGGGTCTAATTTCATTTTGATACATATTGCACATTTTCTGTTCATCTAATGAATCTCATTTCACTACCGAAATATTACGGTCTCCTTCAGTTATTTGATAGATCAAAATGAAATTGCTGATCCAAACACCCAATTATTTATAAATGAAAAACATGGAAATTGTCAACTTTTGCATACGACTGTAAGTCAAAATGTCTGCTCCATGACACAGTTAGCCTGCTGTAGCATAAAGAAGCAGTGGGAAACATCTAGCTTTTCCCAGACAAAGGTATACTTCAAATGTTTCTTTTTTATACACTGTGTGTGTGTGTGTGTGTGTGTGTGTGTGTGTGTGTGTGTGTCTATATTAAAACGCATAGAAATACATGAGACTTTGAATGTGTTTACATGGACTTAAGTATGCCATCCGACCTATGTGGCTTACACCGATTTCGATCATATTTAGGATTTGGCTTTTACAACAAAAAAAACAACAACATAAAAAACAGGAAACTTAGAAACCTGATCATAACCGGGATATTCAAGTCCATAAGACATCAGCTGCCTTAAAGCTAATTTGCTGGCGTTGCATACTTTTTGTAATTATGTACAAAACCAAGCTGCTTCTTGCTAGCTAACAGGATACAACGTGTAACTAAGGCAGGTTAAGAGTCGAAAGAGCCAAGCATATATCTTTTATACCAGGTTCTGAAAAAGTAGAACACACACTGACATGCCCATCTGTGTGTCCCCAGGTTGTATTGGAGACTGAAATCACCAACAAATCAGCCCTGAAGCTGTACGAGAACTTGGGTTTTGTCAGAGACAAGCGGCTGTTCAGATACTACCTGAACGGAGTGGACGCGCTGCGGCTCAAACTGTGGCTCCGCTAGAAGAAAGAAGAGGGGACGGGGGAGGACGGGACAGCGGGTGCTGTTCACCACGTACACTATCAGCTTGACAGCCTCAGCTCTGCCCTGGTCATTTCACGCAAATATACACACACACACACACACACACACACACACACACACACACACACACACACACACACACACACACACACACTTGTGTACAAACATAAAGAGTATGCACAAAGGTATGCGTAGACATGCAAACACACCCTCTTTTTGTCCTTGACCTCTGAACAACTGTTGCGTAGGCAGAAACAAACTGATATCCCACGTGATGTTTTCATGAAGGGGCCCCTGATACTTTCTGTGTTGAGGAGGGGGCGAGTCAGGGTGGTCTCTGGGATGACCTCGACTGGAGGACTAGGTAACCTTTTGACCTTCAAGCTTGGAAGCCACATTGACCGCGACGTGAGTGGTGAGGCAGCTCAAGTGAGAACATGCGTCCGGACCCCAGAGAACATGGCACCACACCAAATCCTCCTGCAGAACACGGGACTCAAAAAACAGACTTAAAGAAAACATGCGAAACAAGGAAGCAGGGCGGGGGGAAAAACAGACTGGCAAGAAAATATTTGTGGAGTTTATTTTTGTGTTTCTTTTTTAACCTTGTAAGTCGGATGGTTGACAGAAAAGCTATAGTATGACTGTGTGTTTGTACCGCCTCATGTCTTTTTGGAAAACGAGTGCTTGGCCTGTTTTTGTGCGTATGTGGCAAGTGAACGTGTTTGTGTGACTGTGTGAGAGCATGCTTGGTTGGAATTGTGCGTACTGTTGTGTGTTTTTGTCTCCCATCCTGTCCAGGGCAGCTGCTCCCTGCTGCTGTTTCCATCACCTGCCTCGGCCTCCGGGACTGAAGCCTGTAAAGATATGCATGCATTTATTTTAATGTGAGTGCGGGAAAAAGTGTGACGTACGTGTGTGTGTGTGTGTGTGTGTGTGTGTGTGTGTGTGTGTGTTGATTAAGCCAATCTGAGGCTAACCCGATGAATCCCTTCCTGTGGTGTTTGGTGTAAGTGTGTTGGTGCAGAGTGGTTGATCGAAACAATCAATCCAGTAGCACCTCAAACTTCGCCCAGCTGGTGGGTCTGCCACCTTTTCGCTTCAGTGTCCTTCACTAAATTTCTCATCATCAAACCATGACAGTATGGGCGAGGAGTTTCATCTTTGTCTTCAGAACTTTTTTCCCAAATGCACTGCCAGCTGCAAAATTCCCACAAAGTAGAAGATGTAGTCTTTCAGAGAGACTTCTTGCCAATGATGGTGTGGTCAAACGTGTCCTAGCCATCTCACCTCACTCCTTTTTAGATTATTCGTCTGTTTCCCCCTCGTTGCACGTGCCACTCAATCCATCAGCGCTCTCAGCCACAACTGCAGTGACCTCCCCGCTAGCCGGCGTCTCACGCAGCCACGGCCTGGTCCTGGTCTGCGGTTGGCACCAGACGGGAGGGTGAAGTGTTACATGCTGGATTCCTTTTTGAGTATGCTGTGTGTGTGTGTGTGTGTGTGTGTGTGTGTGTGTGTGTGCTTATCTCCTTGATAAAAAAGGAAAATAGACAAGTATTCTTAGCAGATTATATTTTATTCTTTTGTTCGCTTTCAGTTTATTTAGATTGTCTTACTATACACCTGTATAACCTCATGCTGTGCAGAAGCGGCTGAGTCCACAATGTACTTCCCAGGTGCCCCATCTGGATGCACAACCAACCTCGCTAATATTCTAAGATCTCCAGCTTGGAACATGTCATAGATGCACCCAGACGTTCCAATCCACACTAATTATGGCAGTGAAAGTATGCTTCAGCCGTTTTTGTTTTTTCTTCAAAGTAAAATGAACAAAGGTCAGATGCACTTCTTTGGAACTTGCTGCAGTGTGTATGAGTTTGTATGAATGTGCCTGTGTGGGTATTGTTGTTTTGACAACAGCGTTGATCTGTTAGACTTTCATTTCTCTACTTAAACAGGAGGACAGGAAAATCAGTCTTTGAGATGCTGTGTTTTGCTCCAGCCTTATAAGGACATCAGGAAGGAACAAAGCGCACCCTTTGTTTTTGTTTTTTAAGCTTTTCAGGATTCGATTTAGTGCTCAGTGCGATAGAAAGGGCGGGGGACAGGTAGGTTGGTTGGTAGCGAAGGGAGAGTAAACCCTAGATCAGCTTTGAATTTTTTTTTTTCAAAGTCAAATTGGAAGATAAGATACATCACTTGTTGTTAATGCAATTTTAAATATTTTCCTTGAGGTGCCTCAAATTATGCAATTGGACATATTGTGTGCTTTAATCCTGCCTACAATACCCTGGAATAGAAAGCACTGCAAGACACTGCCGTGTGGCACAACTGACAGCCAGAGTAAAATATGCTATAAAATCTTGAGTGTCCAGCAAACATTCGTGGTAGTCTGGTGTTTGACGAGCTAGTCTGAGTGACACGACAGGACCTTGTTCATATTTTGGGTTTATTTCCCCTGTCAGCAGTTCAGCTGGGAGGTTTCATCCCAGGAGCCCAGGACTGAAAGGGAGAGTAGATGTTTACAGATGAGAGTTGCCACCCACATAACAGCCTGAGTGTGTATGTTTGTGTCTGTGCATTTGGAGCAATGGATCAGATGACCTATTTTTGTTTTATTCTTTTTTTTTTTTTTTTTCAGATTTATATACTAGTGTTGTTCTCTTCATTGGATTTATTGAGAGCATGTTTTTTTGTGAATCATCTGGGAAGGGGGCAGTTTATGTTGATTTATCAGATGTGATTTTTATTTTTAATTTCTGTGCTATTTTAGTCCATCCAGAGGCGTAACGAGCAGTAACTATGAGCAGTTAATACCAGGCATACGAAAACATTCTCGACCCTGAATATTAACAAATATATGTACTCCTCATCTGACACTGTTTCAATCATCACCCTGTGTAAACTCCTGGTTTATTTTGGAGATTTAAATCTTCTGTCCCTGTGTTGGACACTTGTTTCCCCACTTCTGTGTTCCCTCACTGTCCCGGCCTTTTATACAGCGACTACTGATGGATGAAAGGAAAAGACAGGTAACACCGTACAAAATGAACCTATCTTGTTCATTCAGTTGTTTGTATGTGGAGTTGTTTTAGATTTTGAAGGACAAGGGTTTGTTCTCTTTTTTGTTGTACTCCTGTGAAACTCTGGCAGTTCCATTAGGTATATGGGCATTACAGCCTGTCTCAAAGAGCCAAAGGGCTCTGCTTTAGACCATGATCACAGACTGAAGGGCTTCGTCATCAGTATCAGTTTATAGCCATGGACTGTGGTATTGCATAGTTTTACCCAGCTCTCTCTGGCCATGCATTTGGAATACGTTGACTTGACATGCCAGTTCAGTGTTCACAGATGTCAGAAGCATTTTTTCCCCCTCGTCCTGGGTGTCCGCTGTGCTATCCAGGTAGCTTACTCCATCACAACCCCGCTTCTCTGTCCTCTCCTGACGCAACATCTGCCACCCTACATTTTGAGTGTTACAATCACAAATTCCCCCAGAAACCATTTTGTTGGTCAGATAAACAACATTTGTCTTGGCTGTCGTGCTGCGCCACAGAAATCTGTAGCCCCTACAGCCAATCAATCAACCACAGAGGCTTCCTGCAGTCTTTTCGGGGCGTCCAGCACCGCCTCCACCGCCATCCACAGAGTGTGCAAAGGGGAGAGCAAAAGGTCTTTGCATGTCAGATTTCTGTTTCCCTCTGTTCCTCTTCCCTGTCCCCTTTCTTGATTTTGATCTGGAAATGTCCGATAGCTTTTATTTAATGTGGAAAAAGAACACAGAAATAAATTATTTGATTTTTTTAATGCTGTAAACTGGGTTATCTTGTCTGCTGTCTGGAGTGGTTTTCATTGAAAACACAATTCACACTTAAGGTGCATTATAAGAAAGAGTCGCAATCAGACATCTAAAAGTGTTGTTTATTGATGACATCCTGTTTCAGATCTACCTATAGACAAAAAAGTGTCTATTTTACATCACACTAAAACAGTATTATTGCATATGAACAGGCTGTTGTACATTAAGCATGTCACATGACTCATGAAGTTACAGAAAAAATATTTTCTTTAAATGACAAGACCATGCGTTATCAACATTGGCGTTAAACATGGCTCAAATGAGTAGTGTTCAAATATCTTGCATCTTCTGTCTGAACAAGAGAAGATGTTTTTATAAAATGATCTCTTATTTTCTTAAACTTTAAGGACTTTTTCTGACTGTAAGTCATTGCACTTCAGCGATGTGGTGTTCTTGGGCCGAAATTGGCCAAAACGTCTCCTTTATTTGTCCTCCTCTGAACCAGATTAACACCAAAAACACTATTGTGCAAAATGTAGTGGTTTCCAAAAAAAAAACCGTGCTTCTGCCCCCAGTGTCTTCAGTGTTTGTGCTTTTCCAGCCAACAGAAACACTTCATTTATTTAGAAAGAAGTCTCTGTATGAATAGAATTAGACATAGTCATGCGCTTCAAAATGAAACATTTTGCAAGTGGCAAGATAATGAATTCATATCAGAGTTATATTGTACATCAAAATCTGTTTTATGCTACATAAGTTTGTAGGATGATGGTATTTTGTATGTGCATCTCACAGTACCTTTTATGAACAAATGCCTTTGAATAAAACATTTACATTTACACAAAGTTCACATTTAAATGAAGCATTAATTCAAATGAATTGTATGTGAAGGTTTCTAAAATATGTGGAAGTCTTTAAGAAATAGTTAAGCATTCAGGCTTATTCCCTTTTTTTGCAGAACACTGAGAAGATTTCTACCACTCAGTCTGATAAATATGAAACTTTTTTTTTTTTTTTTTAAGAGAGACAGTTAGCTTAGCATAAAGACTCTAGCCTACCAGCACCAATAAAGCTCACAAATCTTCATGTTACATCTTGTCAAGCAGTCGTTAGGTAACCAGGAAGTCACTGCTCCCAGACAGTTCATCACATGACCCCGGTAAAACAATGAATTGTCATTTTTACACATTCTTTTTTGTACTGATCTGAAGACATGTGTTTATTGGTGAGCTTTCAGAGCGGCTGATAGGCAGGTTTTTGTACCTTTGCACTGGGCCAGGCTAGCCGGTATCCCCGAGTCTTTATGCTATGCTAAGCTAAGCTAACCAGCTGCTCGCTCCAGCTCACAGCCACATATGAGAGTGGTGTCAATCTTCGGCAAGAAAGCAAATGGGCGTATTTCCCACAATGTTGTACAATTCCTTTAAATATCCTAGATGTGTAGCAAGAAATACAATTTTATTTACACTAACATAACACGACTGACCCCAAGTCAGCTACATATACAGTACATATATTTACATTGTTTATGTAATGTTAACTCTTCTACAGCCCTTTGTTATTACTTGACAGAAAGTCCGCTGGTCCATAATTTCAACCTCACCTCTCAAAGCCAAAACCTCAATTTACCAGCTACACTGTAATCCTGCCAAGACCCTGCTAATGCATTTTGTTTTTACGAGCAGCCATTAGAGTCAGCATCACCTGACAACATTGGTATTCTTAGAAAGGGGGATACGAAGCTGACCGTTGCGCAGCCTGTGCAAATTGTGCCCTATAGCCTACTCACACTGTGGACCAGAAGAGTCATCCCAAACAGCCCAGGATGATTGGAGATGCGGAAGTCATAGCGATGGGGGTGTTCGCTGAGCTTCCTTCACAGGAGCATCAGCTGTTGGTCACCGACAAAACGAGACCAAAGGGGTCTCATCAGAACTCATCCTCAGAGCTGTCGGCCAGCAGCATGGCCTGGTCCTGACGGCTGGTCCCGGGCTCTCGAGGTTGCTGGGGAGGAAAATTTAACTTACTAATACTCAACACAAGATCGATGCTCAACAACAAGTGAAACGAGAAAAAAAGTGATGAATACAAGTGGGGTATTGACCTCTGGCTGTCTGACCTTCCTCCTCTGGTGTTTAAAGCTGTTCCTCCTTTTGCGGTGAATCATCCTGATGCTGTAGAGGGCGCCGACGATTAGCAGGGCCCCAGTGATACCAATGCCCACAGGGGCCAACATCCCAGACACATAACCCGCCTGCCAAGGGTGGAGACAGAGGTAAAAACAACTCACACTCATTACCATGTCTAATCCAGGTAAATCAACTCTACTTTTTTATACCCCAAATTATCAAAAATAGTGGTGGTTAATTTGCCTGGATTAACCACCACCCACTGTTATTACTGTCTGTGGCTCTCAGCACCAAGCTCATTTGTAACTACGGAACATAACAGGTTACACTCATTTGTTATGGTCTACTTTTGGCTTTGTATTACTGCACATCTGTGGCTCTAGTGAAAATGTGTGGCAGCAGGACGGCGTATGTGTATTTGAGTCAAAACAAACTGCAGTGTCCATGATAACCAGGGAACATTGATTGATCATCAGTGTGTTTTCAATAGTTTTTGGACAACAATGGAGCTCTATGCCACAGAGGAATAAGTTACATTTTAGGATTATTTAATTCTTGGTTTTGGTGTTTTCATGGGATTAGTAATAAAGTATGAGTAATAAAAATATAGAATTGGCAGCTTAATCCTTAACACCACTTAGCCACAACAAAAAGCAAGTAAAGAGTTTTAAGGACAGCAGGGGGCAGTCTCTTACCTTTTCTCTGATTAGCTCCACCCAGCTCCGCACTGGAAGAAAATAGTCATAGGTTTAGCAAGGAAACATACTTGAAGACTCTTTTTGTCTCTTATTCATGTAGTAGTATATTCCTGTCTGTTTATTTCCAAGAAGGCAAGTAGTCATTGTATGAAGGTTGACAACATGCTATCATGTTCCAAAGCTGATTTAAAAAAGAAACATGTTCTCATACTCAGCCCCTGGTTCCGTTGAACCCAGACAGGAGGTGGAGGGATGAGGCTGTACGGAGGCTGTGTTGAGGCTGTTTTAGGTTTTTCTGTTCGGTCCTCTTCGCTCTCGTCCTCCACTGATTCCTCAGAGGTGTCATCATCCTCATCTTCATCTGGCTCCTCTGTGGGGAACAAAACAAATTCACCAACCCAGCAGCCAAGAGAGAAAGGGTCACATATGTGATTGAAAATGAACATTGAAACAATTTGAATTAAAATAGACTTGTTTTTTGTTTGGCAATAAAACTCATCTTACCCTCAGACTCCATCTCCTCTAACCCTGATCTGGATTTGTGCACTGGCTGATGGGTTGCCATGGTTACCGTTGTCATAGCATGCAGGAATGACGAGGAGGGGCCGGTGGTGGGCAAGTTCCCGTCAAGGGTTGGCATCCTCCCGCCGCCTACATGTCACAAATCACACAGCACAGCACTGTATTTGCAAGTTATGGTGGAAATTCAATCATACATTAAGCAGGCATGACCATTATACAATGCATGATGGACAATGCGGTGGCTTCTCACATCCAGGACGTTGCTGTTGAACAGCTGACTCTTAAGTGTGATATGATTTTCCACTACAAACCAATTACATTCATGAGAGTTCAAAATGATGAATTCTAAAGCAAGTTTCTACAAGTTCACATTAATGCTGAAGTGACATGGATTCCAACCAGAGGCTGCATAGAGGGGGAAATGCTGTCATCAAACTAAAACAAAAAAAGTAGTGCTTGCACCATTATGATGTTCTGTGGCACTATACTTCCACAAATGAACATTCTCATACAGTAAAACCATTATGTTGACGATACACTTGCGAATTATCGCCAGTACTTTAGTATGCTCTGGAAAAGTACATATGCAAAAAGTCATGCAAAAACAGCATTATGCCATATCAAGCCATTGTTCCATAGAGCATTATGTTGACATTGAGAGTCATTCATTCGTTGTGGTGCTGCCACGTCACCTCTCTCACCTCTCTCAGAATGATCCTCTGGCTCTGTTCCGGCTGGCCGCTGTGAAACAGACGGACCGGAGGAGCTGATTGGCTCAAGGAGCTCAGCGCCAGACGTCTGCCAAGGTGACGTCCAGTCTGGCATCAGCAGGGGTGGGGCCTGCGAGGGGCCATCGCTGTCTGTCTCCACGGTGACCAGCTGGTCCAGGCCCACCTCTAACACAGGCATTCCTCCGGTCGCCATGGCAGCAGGAGGCTGATCACTGCCGGGCACCAGCGTGACCGCTGCCGCATCTGCTGGTGTGACATCTTCTTCAAACGGCTCAAAGATGAGAGGGAGAGCCTTCGATGACATGGTGCCCTCAGTGGCTTCATCCTGAGATGGCGGGACCACAGTGTCCACTGTAATTGTGTCAACACAAGCACGGAGACAGAATGAGGGTCAGGACATGTGGCATGGTATACCATTTCCAAAGGGCAGAACAGTTTGGACCTTCTGGTAAAATACCAGTGAAATGCTGCAATCTGAAGATGTTGTTCTTGTGATTGCTAGGTTCAATTCAGTGAGTAAACTAGGGCAAACAAATGAGGACAAGTTGAAGGTCTTGCAGTTTTCTAACACACGACTCTGCTGACAGCTAAGATTAAAAATGTATATGTTTTCTTTCACAAAACTGCGACTGTGTTCAGCATCGCTGAATGCAATTTGACAGAATGCGGCTTTTTGAAACAGGTACCTCTTTGGACATGCATTTTTCTCATTGGCAGCCCTTGCACTCGCTCAGTTCACAGTGCGGCTAAGACAAAATGAAAGCAGGATTGTTTGAAAAATGGTTCTTTCTAGATAAGAGGCTACAACAGAGAGGGCTGTCACAGGGGGAAAAGACTGTTACTGCACATCTCAGGCATTTCCTTTAGTCCAAAGCATTTCTAAAGTCGGCTGGAAAATGCTTATAAGACTGCAATCCTTTTACATAATGCTGTATTG